TGTACATATGTGAGAGTGGCTATATAGCTATTATATGCGGTTTTTCATGCATGCACAACTCCATGGTTCATCTTTATGTTTCATATTGCTTCCGCTAAGCCCTGTAAATTATACTGACATTGATTTTGTCTATTGAGGCTGTAGGTAATCTCAAATTTACTGGCCAGTCATGATGCTAAACCTATAGAGACGAGTTTGGATCGTGACACCACTATTATTGTCACCACCACCACCACCAGCACTGCCTTTTACTTCACAATCACTACACCACCATTACCACCATCACCACCATCACCACTACTACCAACTACCTCTATCATTCTACTACCATTATCGTAACCATCCTATTACCACTAGTACCATCCTACCTGCACTATTATCGCTTCCCTTACTACCACCTGGCACAACCACTACCACTACCACCACCGGACTACCATCATTACCATCCCACTACCATTGTCTATCCCTACTACCCCTATTGATGCTATTGTAAAATTTGAAATTTTAATTATTATTCAATTAAGTTGAATTAAAATATTATTATTATTATTATTATTAATTTTTTTATAATAAAAGTAGGAGAGAAATTAATAAGTATACTTCAATCTTATAGTTATATATATTTTTAATTATTGGAGAGAGTAATAAAATAAATTAAAAAAAAGGAAAGTAATTATTTTATGATTTATATCTTAATAATATAAATGAAATAAAAACCCTAAATTCTTTAATTACTTTCAAAACATAGCAGCCGTGAGAGAGAGAAAGGAGAGAGGGAGAGAGACGGTAAGGTGGTTGCGTAAAGGGTGCCTAAGATTGTTTCAATTTTGTGATGTCTATTAGCAACGTAATTCCCTCATTATCTTTCCTTTTATTCTTATTTTCTTTATTAATTTCCTTTGTAGCCGTTGTGAGTGTTGTGTGGTTGGTGGGTTTTAGGAATTGTTTATATGGATATACCTACATACATACTTGTATTAATGTAAACAATAAAGTTAAATGGGTAGTAACATATATTGCATGTGTATTTCGGTTTGTTTGTGTGTGAGAGTAGTACATCTGTGACAGAGGAATTGTTGGGTATGGCGGGTGTAAAGCAATAGGGTTGTTGTGGTGTGTTTTGATGATTAGATATGTAGGTATATTTTTTAGATATCTAAATAAAGTAATAATTGAAACCCTCACAAAAACTCTAGCCCCACAACCCCCACATCATCTTATGTGAGAGAGAGAGGAAAAAAAAGAGAAAAATAATAATAATAAAAACATACATGAACCAATTACACATATTTGTGAGTCATGAGAGTCCCTAACTTTGGGGTCCCAAGTTTTTTCCAACTAAATATGTAACTAAAAATATAAATGTATGCAGGTGTCACTACAAGAAATAACACGTTTGCCGACAAAAAACTTGGTTGCTAAAAGTCCATTTTTGGTTAGCAAAAGTTATCCGCGACCAATTTTTTTGGTCGCTACTTTGGTCGCCAATTGAGGGTCGGTAAAAGTAATTCGCGACCAAAATTTTTGTTGGTCGGAAAAAGTTAGATTTGCCTACTAAATTTTTAGTCGCTAAATATATCATTACTGCGACTAATCCATTTTGTCGCTAAAACACTTTGGTCGCGAAAAGTGATATTTTCCCGACCAAATATCTTTGTTGCCAATTGTCACATTCCATGACCAAACAGATTAATCGCCTAAAGTAGATGAATCGCCGACTAACAATTTAGTCGCCAAAAGGTAAGGAATTGCCGACCAATGATTTTAGTCGCAAAAGTGTAAAATTTGCGAACCAATTTTTTAGTTGCCAAATCTCTTTTTTTTTAGAACAATCAATTTTTGTTTATAAACATTCAATCCAATATCGAACAAAATTCATTCAACCCAACCACAATTAAGAAACAATAACATTTAAAAAAGAAAAAACTTAGGAACAATAATTATCAAATTTCCTTTCTTGTAACTTCACTAAATCATCAAACAATAATTAAATTCCATTTAAAATAAAGATGAGTCATATTCATTTTCTAATTTTGCAACTCAATACAAAAAAATAAAAATAAAAATTGCTAAACAAAGCATTACACTTCATCAAGTAGTGTCACAAGAATTATAAATTCCAAATGCCACTTCCTCAATGCACTGTCATAGCACCAACCAACCTATTATCAAAGATGAACACACCAAAGATATAGTATAAACAAATTTTGCAGGCACATAGAGAAAATAATACTTGATCAAAAAATTCAACATGAAGACATAAATTGATTCACAATCAAGAGAACTGAAGAATTCATCAGGTAAAAAGAAAAACAAAAAGAAAAAGAAGTTGATTCCTTAAAAAGACATGGTCCAAAGACCACAAGTTGAACAAATTTGGGATATAATATACAAACAAATTAGTCACTAATTCGACATATCCCAAACATCAAATGCAGCCTAAATAGTCACTAATTCCTCGGTCTTGCACACTTCTCATTGCAAAAATAAAGAGGTCCACTTGGATCACATATGACTGCATAAAGCTTTCTGTATAAGAATAGAACAAAGCTTTCTATATTGTGACTTTGAAAATTGAACCATAGCCAATCCCACATTTATATCAAAGAAAACCAAAGCTTATGACTGAGGCAAAACAAATTCTAAATAAGGCAAACTACAATCAAGAGACCTATTTCTAAACAACTATGCTATCTAAATTGTTTTTTTTTTTTTTTTTTTTTTTTTTTTTTTTTTTTTTTTTTTTTCTGTTTGTTCTGTTTTTTTCTTTGGTCTATATGTATCTTTGTGCTTGCACCCACACACAGATCAGACTAGTGTAAAATTCTTATTCATAAATTCAAAAACTTCTTGGGAACTCCATTTATTCTTAGCTGTCTTCAAAAGATAAGCATCTCTTCCATGTCAAAAATACCATCATCAGGTGTCAGTAGCTAAGCTCACCAATCCAACAGCCCAATTCAATAACCCAATATGTGGAAAGATAGAGACATTGAGGATGCCATTACATAAGTTAGTGGGAAACTTTTCTGCTTCCCAAGCAATATAGGACTCTCTCTGAGTGGAGGAACAAAAAAGAAAGTCTCATATAGGACTCTCTCTGAGTGGAGCACCAAAAAAGAAAGTCTCATATAGTAAGATAACTATAAACTTGTTTATAAGTGAAAGTCTATCTTTGTTTTCACGTGTAAGATTGTTGAAGTCTTAAATTGGTTCAGTTTTTAAGTTCATTCCCAATCCTAGCCTAAACCTGAGGGAGTTGGTTAACCAATATTCTGAGCCAAGATGAACTATGGGAACAAAGAACCAAATCACACCAATCCAATTTGTAACTCAGTTTATCAATATATTATTTTTAGTTGCTCAACATTTTCTCACAAAGCATCATTAGCCTTAAAATATATGTGCATGCACTAAAAGCATTTCTTGATTCTACAAATCAAATATCATTTTAACTAAAGAATTTTATCATAACTGAAATTTAACTAGCACTTCAACCCTTTCAAAAATATAATAATAATAAAATAAATAAATAAATAAAGTAGCTATTCTATCTAGAAAACTGATTCATCAAGGCTTGGTGTAAACATATAAGCACATACTCTAAACTATAAAATAAAAAAGCCAAGCTACATAATATTAGTATATTAAGGAGTCAATAAGCATAAAAGTGAAATTGATTAATTTAATATAATTGTAGTTAGTTCATTATCTGTGCAAACAGGACAAAATATAACTCATTAAGCCTATTTACCATAATGCATCCAAACATATTAGAAGAAATTGCCAAGTCAAAACAAACCAAGAAAAAAGTTATTTTAACAGCAATGGCACTCACCCATTCACCTAGGCAAAGGGACCGGTAATATTTGGCAAATCTTTGACATTCACTAGACTCCTCTCCTTTTGCTGCTAAGCACCTGCAGTTTTTGCTTGAAGAATAAAAATAAAAATAAAAAGGCAATTATTTAGTTCTACAATAAGGTAAGATGTTTAAAACTCTTCATATAGAGCCCATTCATTCATGAATGTCTCAAAATGATATAATACTAAAAAAGTGTGCATGCGAAAGTCAATGTAGTGAGTGAAACAGTGTCTGGTCTAATTGGTTGTAGGAAATCAAAAATCAACTGGTCCAATCTTCAGTTCAATCTGAAAGGCAACATAAAGAAGTTGATGTCAGTAAAAAAGAAAACCAAAAAAAATAATAAATAAAATAAGCTCCATACTAGAACTAACCACTCAAACATAGGATTACACATGTTCAACCACCACATAACAGGGTCTATGGGGGTGTTGAACACATAAGAGACCCATTTTGAATAGTATAACAACCACCAATGAGAACCAAAAGGAAAGAACAAAACAGATTGAGAACAAACACACAACATAGTCCTTAGCCACTCAACCCACACACTCAACTCACACATAAAACACTACAAAATATATGCTTACATTCATCTCAACTCACCAAACAAAAAATTCCCTCACAATATGTACCAGCTTGCCAATCTGCACAACAAACATTAGAATATATATATATATATATGCTCAACATCACTCAACCCACAAGTCTCACCAGCTCCACACAAGTGTGACTACTACCTAGCAATATCTGAAGAGTACTTGTAAAGAACAAGATGTGCCCCTTTGATTAGGAAAGTCAGGATACAACATGGCAGACAAGAAGTGTTTTCATTTTTGAAAAACTGACATGGAGCATGCAGAAGAATAATACATAAAGCAACTCAGTTACATTAAACTATTTCCTGTTCATTTTTGTAATTTTTTTTACCTAACTCAGAAAATCCCCATAACTCAACCTTACCTTTGTTGGGTGTGGAATTTAATACCAGAACAGAGAAATGCCAATTTCAACAGGACTCATACGGCGAAACTCAAAACCAATGATTTCTAGAGCTTGAAATTGCTCAAGTTAAAAAGAGTATAAAATGGACTACAAAGTGCATTCACTGGCTTTAGGTAGCCTGTGTTCGTTTTCAGTCTTCCTTCTTGTCAAGTTCATCAATTGCAGCAAGTCTTTCAACAAAGGGAGGATGAGAATAGTGATAGGCAGAATACAAAGGATCAGTATTCATAGCTGACAGGTTCTCTTCCTGAAAAAGCCATTATTAGCTCGGTTAATCAGCAATTCAAAGACTCATAACATTATGAAGTCCTATAACAATTATGAATTTATTATAATATGTTTAGAATAGAAGTATTTGATCACCCATAGTACTATTAAAAGAGATGAGGCTTGGTCTAGCACAACTGTTAATCATATTATCTTATGCATATATCAGAACATAGCTGTATTGCAAACACACAAATGCTATGTGGCCCATGACAGGACAAGAAAAAAAATACTTGGTTATTAATATTATTTTCTTACCCCGCCCTGCTCAAGATGCATGACCAATTTCCAGACCAATTTTGACTCACCATCAACAAGAACCAAAAAACAGAGGAAAAAAAAGGAAAAAAGAAAAAGGTAAAGGCACATAGTCAAAGAACCACAGAAACAGAACAACGATAATTAACGATCTGTTTGTTTTAATAGAAAAGTTATTCCAGAAAATGTTTTTGGAGAAAAAGCTTTCTTATGTTCGCTAATAGTGATGGAGTGGTGGTAGCAGTGCTAGTGTGGTGGTGGTAGTAAAATTTTAGCCCGGAAAAATTTTCCACCTTTTAAAAGTGAAACATATTTCACCCGAACAGGCTTAATTTTCGTTAACCATGGAAAACGTTTTCCATTGTACCAAATGGCAGAAAATGTGGCCCAAACAAAAAAAGCGTAAATAAACAACAAATAACTAAAAAGGTAGCAAGTTCCTCTAAATACGGACGAACATAAACAATTCCACCACTTCTCCAAACTGTTGCCAATGGCTGCAAAAATCAAACATAACAAAGATAACAGATGACATATGAAAATAAAAGGAAAATTAGTTTCACGAGTCTTGCTCGAAGCAGTGAGGCATAGCCAAGCTTCTGAGCAAAAGCATCAGCCTACATCAAAATAAGAAAAATAAAAATTGGAAATTTATGGAGTACCAAGGAAAAAGACACTGAGTGAGACTCGTAACTAACTATTGTCTACACTGCAAACATTTACCTGAAATTCAAAGGACCGACTTACAAGATTAAGACCAAAGCTTACATGATGCTGAAGAGGTATTACCGTATGCTGCAACCAAAGAGTTCATATTAAAATCATACACATTTCTATCTTTCTCTACATGACCCAAAATAATAATTTCCCAAATTGTGATTTTAAACAGACAACAAAGATGGCATACATAAGGCAACTACAGACTCATTTGCTATGCATCAAGTTTTCCTTAGTCCTAAACAAAGGTTTGTAAGTCACATCTAGCAGAATACTTGCAATAAGTTTTAGCTTCTTCAAATTGCAAGAGTGTTGAATGTAGGGTTGTCACAATGATAACATTGGAAGTCAGTATCCAACTATTCATTCACGAGTGCCTTTTAAAGGTCAGATTCAATAGACAAATTTACATCATATGATAGCTCATCCGGATCTAACTCCTCCCATGTATCCTGAAAAAAACCAGTGACACATGAGATATTAAGAAATAATTAAGATTAACTTTAAAAGCAACAACTTTGGTAATCATATGCATACAAATGCATACATAACCTAAATTTCATATACAGGATTAATAGCCATAGAGAAAAAAAATCTTATTTCATTACAAAAATAGAGAGTGGGGAGAGAATTCAAATACTACATGCTTAATTTTTCTTTTTCTTCAAATTTTTTCCATATTGTCCATCTCCCCCATACACTAGCTATGAGAATGAAACATCTCCTGTAGGCAGGTTATCAAGCAATCAATTCATGAAGATGAAACATCTCTTGTAGGCAATTTATCAAATATATGAACATCAATCAATTTTACATATTTCATATACATATCAATCCATGAAATCCAGACATATCTGTTAAACTCCAAACCAACAATCAATGCATTAGAAGATGAAAATCTCTCATATTATGACATAAATTAAATACAAAAGCATGATAATACATGATTCATTGCAGACCAAAACTTTTTGAGCAATAGAAAATATAGTCCAGATTCTCCTCTATGGTTAAATAATGAATTTCACTCTTGTAAAGTAAATTTCGTATTGGTTCATGCAGGATAAGTAAGTTAATCACTTTTACAAACATAAATAGGATATAAACACCTCCTATGATGATATTAATTAAAAGAATCCCAAAATAGGATTACATCACATAAATAAGAAAATGGAGCACCCAAGCTTTCAAGCAACACTGATGATATACGTTGCATTCAACTTCTTATCCTCATCTGAGGTTAAAATAACAAAACTAGGATCAGATAGTTATTTCCACAAATGGGCCTGTTAGGGGAGCTTAAATCACAATTACCATGTAAATTATTTCACTTTCCCATAATTTCTATAGTGACAGATAAATTATTGAAACTATATTCTACTTCTCTATATTAGTTATGATTTCATGCACTATAGGAAGCCCAATGAAGCAAAATTGGTGCATTATGGTTTTCTTATCGTAGTGTTGAAAAATTTCAGTCTCCGTAGTGAAATTTCAGTAAAATAAAAAGAGAGAAAATTGTCAACCATATATGAACTACAAGAATCAAAGACCCCAATTTCAAGAATTATGTCAGATAAAAAGGCAACAGTATTTTTTTTTTTGATAAATATAAAAAGCCAACAGTATTAAGAGTAACATACCAGTTTCATTCTTAGTAACGACACTCTAGTTAACAACCCTCAGCTCCACAGCACTAAGAAGTTCTAGGAAGAAAGTCCCATTGAAAGGTTTTTGTCCTATCGAAAGTTGCACAAAGTACCAAATCATCAGTCATGGCTCAAAAACCCAATCATATTACAAGGACCATGCTTTGTTAATTATCTTGAAGCTATCCATTTGAGATTTTTTGCCTGAGCTCTTCACTTTGTGGTTAGCCCAAGTTAGAATGTCATTGTCTACTATCTCCTTTCCCTTAGCGTGAAACCTTAGGTTTTTCAAGAGTTGGAGCATGGTAAACCTTATCAACTGCCATAGGAAAGCTGAGAAAAAGGCGGACAATATAAGTTTTCCTTTTTTTTTCTTTTTCAAATTACAAAAAATTAAAATATGAACCTATGAAATTTAAATAGATGTTTGTTGATTCAATAGAAAAACAATTCTAACTTCTAACAAGTTTGTGTCAATTATTACTTGAATGGAATGCACCCCAGTTAGCCATGTGTTAGTTGCTGCAAGTTTTCTTATTTTAGTCCAAGCGAAACAAGGTCCTAGCTGATATTCCTAATGATTATCATGTTAGAAAAATGATTATATTGAGGGGAAACATTTTATTATTATTTTTTAATTAAAATTAATGATAATAATAGAATTTATTATTAGAAAAACTTGCTTGCAGTTAATCTAGATTCATTTAACTTAAACTTCAGCCAATACTGAAAAATAAAACTTGTGTGATCATAAGAGAGGTGATTTTTATAGTTCAATACATCACAACTACAATAGAATACTGTCTTTGGCATGGAAGTATCAAGAAAGGCAGCTTACTATAAAGAAACAACACCTGAAGCTCTAATCTGTTTAACCCATAAGATACCTATAACTATCCAATCTTTAGGCTATTCATCATTTTTTAGGCTCTGTAACGTTGTACAATTGACAGAGTTATATTTTCTGCTTCTTCTTCTTTTGCTGCTTCCTTTTTCTTTTTCAAACATTCATCACAGAAAGGGGAAGAAAAAGAAAAATACAAAGGAAAGAAAGATCAGTTTTAACTACAAAAACCACGTCTTCCATTTTAAGCTTTTACTCTAATTCCCTAACTTCAAGAAAAGGAGAAGAAAGAAAGTCCTTTCACAAAGATACATTAAAAAAACCACAAACCAGTTATCTTACTTGATGAGTACAACTAAAGGGATTAGTTAACGGTTGTTACTTATCTTGATTCAAGATCAAATAGTTGATTTATCAATTTATCCCTTCAATTCCTAAAGCTTCAAACTATGTTTTTCACATCCCCAATTTATTTTAGAATGAGATTGTGGCAATTCATCAATCATCCAAAATGACATACAAAAGCACTCATATCAGTATAGTGTAGACACCCCATTTTTGACCATCCTCAAGACTTGGACGTCATCGTTTGAACACTCGATGATCACCCATGTTTGTGTTCGTCTTGAGTTCTCGGCGGCTTCGGCTACGCGCCTTGCCTCAAGACCTCTGGACTTGTTTGTTTTGTGTTTGGTTTTGCACCAAACACTTGTTGTTTTGCTTCTGAGGGTAGGAAATAGCTTGTTGGCCATCCCCACACCTCATTGGCCATGGCCTGAGGCCACCGGCCCTGTTTTCTTGCTACTGGCCAAAAGTGTTGGCCGGTTGGCAATGTTTTTGGTCGGCCGGCCATTGTTTTGATCAATCGGCCACTTTTTCTGGCCGAGATCTTTTCTTGAGGAGGTTTGAACCTTTTGCACCCTTGTTTTAGCTTCTTGAGGAAGCTTAAACCTTTTGAACCCCTCGTTTTAGCTTCTTGGGAAAGTTTGAACCTTTTGAACCCCTCGTTTTAGCTTCTTGAGGAAGCTTGAACCTCTTGAACCCTTGTCTAGCTTCTCCAAGAAGCTTGACCCTTTTGCTCTAGCTTCTCCAAGAAGCTTGACCCTTTGCTTCAAGCTTCTAAGAGAAGCTTGAGCCTTTCTTAGCTTCTTAAGGAAGCTTGACCCCTTTGCTCTAGCTTCCTCAAGAAGCTTGGCCCTTACAAGCTTCTAAGAGAAGCTTGGCCCCTTTGCTCCAAGCTTCTCCAAGAAGCTTGGACCTTTGTTCCTCTATAAACGAAGAGCTCCTCTTCCATTGCAAGGGTTCCAAAAATTTTGCTAAGGCAAACAATATACATCTCTCTATATCTCTCTATTTTGAGCTCCAAATTGCTTGGTTCTTGGCCCCTTTGCACACCAACTCTTAGCCTAACACCTCCATCATCAACCTAAGCATCTTGGAGGCCATTTTCAAAGGCTAAGGGACTGGTTTTTGGTCCAAGAACCTGCTGGTTTCGCAGCTGTGCATCATGGGTGAGAAACACCCTCTTTATTCCCCATTTTTGCATAGGCTTTTAGCCTATCTTGCATGCTATTTTGAGCTTAACTTATAGCTGATAAAAGTTTTATTTTTTTTATGCTTTTAAAGTTTGTTTAAGATCACTTTTGTGTTTGGGGTTGTTTACACCCTCTTAGGCCTTGTTTGGCCTCATTTTTGTGCCTTTTTTGTGAGCTTCGGGACCACCTTGTATTGGCCCTTGGATTTCAGTGGTGTGGATGGTGTTTTGAGGTCCTAAGAAGGAGAGGGGTAATCCTCTCCTTTGCTGTCTTGTTTACTAGCATATTTGGCCTTCCAAAGGGGCCTATATTTGCACACTTCTTGAGCATGTTTCAGACCTTTTTCAGTGAGTTTTAGGGCCTGTATAACCCTTTTCCAGAGTTGGTTTTTTTCATGTTAGATGTCCTTCTTGCATGTGTAGAACAACCCCTTGCATGGCCTTCCAAAGGAGCACCTCATTCTAGCATGTATTGGACACATTTCAATGGGTATTTGGTCATATTTTGGCATGCCATGAATCTTTTTTTGGCTGGTTTAGTGGCGCCTTGAATGTTTCATATACATGTAGTGTAATCCATGCTTACTAGCCTACGTTGCATGTTGTTTTGGCCCTCCATTCTAGCATGTTTTGGCCATACTCCAAACATGTTTTGTTCATATTTTGGGCTGCCTTAGCTTTGTTTTTAGGCCTCTTGGTCGATTGTTGCTTGCCATGCATGCTTGTAGTATAATAGCCATGCTTAGCTTTGAGTTTTGAAGCCTATTGCATGCTTATATCGAGGTGTTTGCATGCTTTAGTATCATTGTGTATGATATTTCAGAGCTTATACTTGTGCCATACTCTCCTATTTTCCATGCTTTAAATGTGTTTGAGAGTTGTGCTTGTATACCCCATTTATGAGCCTTTGCGTGAGCTTCATTTAAATGCATTTCGAGCCACCATCTCATATCATTTTGCCACTGTTTTAGGGATGCATAAGGTCTGTTTGGGGTTGGTTTCATCATTTGAACATAGCTTTGCATCACTATAGTGTAATGCACTTCACTAGTCTTTGGTGTTTGAGCCTTCTAGAATGCATAGCATGAGTGTTTGCATGCTTCGGAGTCATTTTGAAATCATTTAGTATGCCATTTCAGAGCTGGAATGTATGCCATTGTATGCCATGTTTCATCCTTGCATTGCTCTTCGAAAGTTGCATTTTGTGCCTTAGGATTGGAGCCCTTGCATTGTGCATGTTTGCATGAATCTTGGGCCTTGTTCTCATCTCATATGGCCACTGATTTAAACATGGCTGAGGCTTGTCCATATTAGTTTAAAGTCCATCTTTTGCATGTTGCTAAAATGTTGTTACATTGCTTCATGTTTGCATGCTTTGGTTGCATCATGTCTTGCATGCTCATTGTTTGAATATTGTCACATGCTTGCATGTTTGCATGTTTGTCCACATGTTCATGTTGCATACATAGTAAGCATGTTTTCATGTTAACACTCACATACATTTGTTTGAGAGTTGTGCTTGTATGCCCCATTTATGAGCCTTTGCGTGAGCTTCATT